GAAGGAAGAGCCCCACTCCGCCACCTCCTTTCAAAGTCCGCCCGGGTAGGTTCTCGCCCATCTCCTGACAGTCAGTGAAGGGAGGTCTGGGGGCGGAAGGGACGGCTGGGCCGGTTGGCAGGATTCTCATTCTGTTTGGCATCGGCTATGAACTTGAGTGTTCAGTTTAGAACACTAAGTCTTTCCCCTGTTCCTTTTCGGAGTCAGTATGCACCAGCGGTTTGCCAACCTGCCAGCCCCTCCAAACCTTAAATGGTTCAGGACTCGGTAATTAATCATCGCTTACAATTGCTTCTGTAGGTGAGGAAGATACCTTATGCCCCCATCTTATCAAGAAGGAACTCTGTCGCGGATCACTGCACTGGGGATCGGAGCCTCCATTCTGTGTTATAACTGTCACCACTTTCTCTGCTGCTTCTGCTTCCAGGTACCCCAGCGACCTATTTATTTGGAACCCGCCCCTACAGGCACTGCCAGGCAGGACTTTTGGAAGCACCATAGTAAAGAGATTTGAAAATTTTATCATCTTCCCTCTCATTTCTCCGTATACCTCCCACCTTCCGAGTAACGAATGGTAGTAAATCTCTCCTCTGGCGCCGCCCTGTTTTCCCTTAGAGAATTAGGGTGCGGAACAGGACTTCGGATTAATAATCTTAGCCCCCCACGGCCTGGTAGGTAAAAGCTGCTGCCCTCAGCGCCTGGTTCTGAGGACACTTCTCCAGAGACTCTGTCTCCCTGTCTCCTTTTAGAAACACAGCAATGAGGCTGTTCAGAGGAAACAACGGCGGACAGACAAAAAGTAATTTGCTTGATAGAGTAACCTGTGCGCTTTGTTCTCCCCCCTTTATCCCCCCAGTCAGCGGGAAAGAAGAACAGGGCTCTGCGTCTGGGTGCTGGTCAGCAGGGGGCACTGTTGCACCTCCCTTGGCCTTAGGGAGGAAACAGCACAGTAGACAAACCAAAGGGGTGGAGAGAGCAGCGCCTCCGGCCTGATGCTGGTGGATTTGAACAGATGACCTTCCCTTGATCCATGGAAACAGGTGCATTGACTCCCGATAGCCTAAAAGCGTGATGGATGGGCAGAATGGTGCCCAGTGCTGTTGCTTTCCTGGTAACCAACGGAAACCACAATCTCTTGACGGGCGCGTGTGTCTGTGTATGTCCGTCCTCTCCCCATTCCGCCACCTCCTGTACTTAAAAAAGGGTGCGATGACCCCATGTCCCGGCCATTGCATTCTCTTTCCTCTCCTCTCCCCTAATCAGCTTCTGATTTAATCTCAGATTGAAAGGACCTTGGACGTTGGTCGTAGAACAACACGGAGGTTCTTACTGCCACTGAACTGTATGCTCTAAAATGGTTAAAATGGCCAATTTTATGTTATGTATGTTTTTCCACACTTAAGAAAAAAAGAGGATCTTAGACGAACTCGGGGAGGGAAAAAACAAAGTTTGGACTCACCTCACATCCCCCAGCCTTTCTCTGTTCAGACAGTCCTAGCAAATCCCGCGCTTTGCAGCCAGGCTTCTCAGATAGCCAGGACTCTGCATAAACGTGCAGTTATTGACTCCTCCCCCTCTTCTCCTTATGTCTGCGTCAAAGTAAGATGCTCTGTTTACTTGTTTATTAACCCGAAGGGCAGAACTGAGCTGCGGCTCCCTTCCCCTAGAGACACATGCATCATGTGGCTGATGACTGACCCTTGCTCTCAACTTTAAACCTTGCTGCCTCCTCAGTCGGTACTTTTCCCAATTGCTATAAATGCCTCGCTTTCCTTCTGACACTGTGAGGCAGGAGTCAGCAAATTTTTCTGCAAAGGGACAGACAGTGAACATCTCTGGCTTTGCGGGCCATCAGGTGTGGCTGCCACTCCCTCTCGGGAGGAAGCCGGCAGACAACATGCGCGTGAATGGGCATGGCAATGTTCCAAGAAAACGGTACAAAACCAAGCTGTGGCAGGATCCCACACCCCCGCCCCGCAGGTGGGAGTTCGCGGACCCCAGCTTTGAGAAAAGAAACATTTCTCCCTGCCTCCGCCAGAGCCCAGCAGATTTCTGCCTCCTGCCCTCAATCTTTCTCCTATTTCTTGTTCTACAGATCTCTGAGGTACTTAGTGACTTGTTGGAAAATTGAATGAGTTTTTTTTAACCTACACTTTACATATTTAATGGTTTGGGGTGGATTTCTATATAAATATGAAGTTTTTTTCAAATGAGTATGTATTCATTTGAGATACAGGTGTATCGATAGCTATCTCATACGATGGTACTGAGTAGGCCTAGGTGGGGCGGGGAATGGCACGTGGGCGTGCACATGTGTGTAAAACAGCTGAGGACAGATAATTCATCCCCAGGAAACTATCTTTCCGACGATACCTGTATGTCGCCTGGAGCCTCTGTGGCACTCTCTCCCCCCACATCTCAGGTTAGACTTGCTTGTTCTCTTCGCCGTTCCTGGAATCACCTGCTCACACCCGCATGCTGGCTCTTTCAGCCCGAGGACTTACCCGCAGTCGTCAGCCTACGTCTCACAAAACTTATTCACCCGACGTGCCAGTTTGCAGAAACTATCCCCACGCCTGTTTACTAGAACCAGCCATACCTGGAGCCTAGGTCAGGCAACTCCAACAGGCCATCGAGCGCTTGTCCAGAGGGGTAACCTGTGTTTTTTGCAGTTTCCCGAGGAAAGGGAGCATTAAGAGTTGGCAGTGGCCTCGGCTTTTGGAAACGATGAGTGCACACACTGCGCACGCTCCACTCTGTGCCGGGCCCTCCGTTCGGTGTATTCACCAGTACTTAGCGCCTCCCCAGGCCACTGAAAGTGGGAAGCCACCGACAGGGGACCCTAACAGCAAAGAGGCCCCATGTGAGCATCCGAGAACCTTCGTGCCCGGCCCACTCTCTCTAGCTATTTTCCAAAACCAAGTGTGATTTTTAAAGACACGTGCTGTTTCCCCTCAAACCCGGGGCTGAGAACCTGTTTCCATCAGTACCGGGACACCTTCTTGTTGTCGTTAAGATTCCTGGGGGACTTTTCTTCCAAAAATCTTCCCCATGTAGTCTCTCGTTTAACTTCGTGGTAAACTTCGAGGTCGAAGATGAAGAAAAGTAGGGGATGGTGGGATAAAATAAAGTGGCAAAGGGAATTTATTTCATTTTCCATGGGAAAATTCAGCCCTAGAGAAGCTGAGTAGTTCATTCAAGGTCATAGTGCAAGGTCTGGTGGTGACACCGTTACCCTCTAAGATTGCCCGACATCTAAGATTCCTTCTTTCTATTACAGTCTATCATAGGCTGTATGTCCCCTCTGTTGCTCTATAGGAGCGACGCTTCCTATGGCATCTGTGTGGCATAAGGACAGATGTCCACGTCGGCCAACATAAATAAACCCATATAGGGCCAGGGTCAACGCGACCGCCTTGATCCCATTATGAAATCTGAGCTGGCTTTGCTGGGCAGTTGCGAGATGAGAGTTTCCCTATTAATACCCATACCTACATGCCAAGCCTTGGACACAAAAGCTAAGAATGTGGCGTGGGGGAGGAGGTGGGATAAGTGATAGCACCCTGGACTGCGTCCCTTCCCTTCGTCCAGGTGGTTTCTATGTCTGTGTTCTGTGAATCCACAAGTATGTGCATGTCCAAGTGTGTTTAGCCTTAGTCGTATTGACACGAAGATCTTATATGCGCGGGTGAAACCCACCCCCCATCTCTAATACTCACGTCAGCCGCCTTCTTCTCTGCCAGCTCCAGCTTCTCCTGGGCATCCTTCAGAGCTTCAGAGTACTTGTCCAGCTCATCCTCTGTCCCTTTCAGCTTCTTCTGCATAGCTGCCAGCTCATCTTCCAGCTATAGGAGCCACGAGAGTCGCACACAAGACAGACACACACACCAGTGCAGGCTCAGACCCTGGGCTCTTGAGCCCTGGAAGACCCCAGGGCTGAGCCTCTATTTCACCATCCCCAGAAAGTCTCAGTTCCTCTGCAGTAACTTCCGGCCACCTGCCCCAGGAGTCATGCTACGGCCTTGGCCTGCGACCCCCTAAGACGACGAAGCCATGCTGGGTTTTCGTCTAAGACTCTGGGGCGATAAACATCTTAGGGTGTAGAAGCCCATGATTCCATTTAAGAGAAAAGAGATGCCGCATGCCAGCCTCCCACCTCTTCCTCTAGAAGTCAGAGGTTCTTCCAAAACGTGAGCTACTCTCACCTAAATCAGGGAGACACTGTGGCTGAGAAGGGGCCGCTGACATTCCCAAGGTCACACAGGCAGTCTGTGGCAGACACTCTAGTTGTCCTCTCCCTGTCTGGTAAGACCGGGGAAGAAGGGTCCCTCCCACCTGAAAAAGGAGCTGACACCCGAGGCCTCTGCCTTTCCCGTGAAAACTTCCACTGCATCGTCTTGCTCACCAGCAGGTGAGTGATCACACAGGTGCCTACCTGTTTGCTTCTTTCTTCTGCCTGCTTCTGTTCGGCCTCGGCTTGCTCTGCCCGATCCAGAGCGTTCTCCTTGTCCAGCTTCAGCATCTGCATCTTTTTCTTGATGGCCTCCATCTTGGGTTGTGGCCGTCGGTGACCTGCGGACACTGGGGAACTAGAGAAAGGATGGGCTGCTGGCTGAGCGTCTGGGAGTCCCCCCACCCCGTCAGACCTGAGCCTTTATCTCTGCTCCTGGCCCCACCTCCTGTTTCTAATAGGGTCCTGCCAGCTCCCTCCACCCCATCGTTGTCCCCTGGGGGAACATGGGGTGAGACACTTTGATGGACTGACATCACCACCAAAGAAAAAAATTCAGAACAGCTGAGGCTGATTTTAGACAATGGAAAGTGGGGGAGGAGGGGGGCTCTCCGTGACCCTGAAACTTTCCACTCTCCCCGGGCAGCTCTCTGGGAGTTCCAAAAGAGCGGGGAGCGGGGAGGCGCGGGGAGAACGCTGCAGCGGGCGCTTTGGCAACACTCCAACGGTGGTTTCCAGAGGTTTCCAGCTGCTCTTCGGCATCCCCTTACTCTCACCTGGACCGTGTCGGATGCCGACCAGTCTCCCCTGGCTGAGTTTTACCTCTCCGTTCCCAGGGAGCTTGAGCAGCAGTGAAGAGGGGAAGCCCTCCGACCCTTGACAACCCCCCCAGATCAAATTACTGCGCTATTTTGAGAGTCTCCAATTGGCAGGGAGACATCCTTCCTCCCCCTCAAGGGCCACAGGCATGGGTGAGAGGGGAGGCCTGGCATCTGGAAGGCCATCCTGAGCCTCCCGGGGCATGGGGGAGGGACCCAGGGCAGGGGCAGAGTGATCGGACGGGGCGTGCCCTCTGCCCCGCCAAGGCGATCTTGAAATAGAACTTTGATACCCACACAGGCCGAGGTCTGTCTTGCTCCCTCTTCTCAGGCTCCGTTCCCTACGCATTCTCCGCCCTGACCCCCACCCCCCGCCCCCACATCATCCTACTCATCATGTCCAGCTCTGTTTGCCCTAGCTTGTTCCAGGCCATGCTTGGTCTTCCGCTTGGAGCCTCGTCACTGACAGGTGGCCATTGATCCCAGTACACTGGCACCATACAATCTGAGAATATGCCAGGGAAAAGGGGACACTGTTCAAGGTGACCAGAGCTATCAGGGAAGAATACAAATGGCTCTAATTAGTCGTAATGTCAAGGATAGATGAGTAGTGTCAGTTCTGAGGCCCGGCATTGGGGTAGCTGAGACTCCCGCTGCTGAGGCAGAGGCCCAGACTGGAGTTCACTCCCCAGAGCTTCCGGTTAACTAGAGCGGACAGGAAGAGAGACCACCGGGTAACTCTGGAAGGAATGCAGAGAAACCTCAGACCCCCTGCTGTGGGACTAGGGAACAAGAGAGTCCCAGGGACAGGAAGCGATGGATGATAAGGGGAGGGGGCGTTGACTGAGGAGGAGGATACAAGGGCAGAAGATCCGAGATGCCTCCCTCTGAGTACCAGGGAAATGGAGGAAATGATACTCGAATGTCAGCTCTCTCTGTTCGCACACGAGCCCTGCAGCCTGAGACTGGAATCCGTGTAGGTGGTTCTTCCCGAGGGGTCCTGGAGGGAAGGGACCCCGTAAAAGGCAGGAGCCCCAGAGTGTCAGAGGTCGAGGCAGGCGTGCGATGCCAAATTTCCCACCGCTGTAAGAATATGTTTGACATTTAGTTGGTTCCTAATTCAACAACCCAATATCAAACATATCACACAGAAGCAGGCAGGAG